AAAAAAAAAAAAAAATGAATAAACCAATGAATTGTCTTTGAAAAAAAAAACAGATTACCACAACTACTTTTTTACATAAAACTTACCAATGATTCAAAAGTCTCTGGCTTCTCATCAATCTTTCCAGCCTTCTTCATTCTATTGAGACGCTTCTTTTCAACCAGGCCAGTACGATCAAGGAATGTGTCATCATCACTATCATAAAAGTCTTCATCTTCCCAGTTTTTGGCTTTCCTTTTCCGAGATACTAGAAGAGGATAAAGTAAATAATGAGATCAAATTAATTTGAAAAGACAGAAGGTAGTAGATGTGATTTTTAAGGCTGGGTGTCAACTTGACTGGGCCAGGATTCCCAGTGGTCTGGCAGTTGATAGTTAACTCTATGATGATTGGCTATGAGCAGCCAATCAATTGAAAGGCTGTTTACTTGTGAGTGTGGTCTACTCCCAATGTAATGGACACACAAGAAAGACACACTCTCTTCTGATGGGGACCTGGGACTCTACAAATGTGAGCCATTTCCATGATATAAACTTCTCTTTGTTGTTAAGTGTCATTAAGTCAGTTTCGATTCATAGTGACCCTGTGAGCTACCTGGAGCTCTGGTAGCGTAGTGGTTACGAATCGGGCTGCGAACCTTAAGGTCAGCGGTTCGAAACTACCAGTTGCTCCGCGGGAGAAAGATGAGGCTTTCTACTCCCGTAAAGATTTACACCCTCGGAAACCCTGTACAGGGTCACTATGGGTCGGAACCGACTCGACGGCACTTAACAACAACAACAACATAGGGTTTCCAAGGAGTTTGAACTGCCAATCTTGTGGTTCACAGTCCAGTGCTGATCCTACTGCGCCACACCAGGAGTCCTTCTTGGAAACCCTATACAGGTTTGCTAAGGGTCAGAACCAACTTGACAGCACTTAACAATAACAACATGTAAGTTTCACTGGTTTTGCATCTATAGAAAGCCCAGCCTAAAACAGTAGGCAAGCAGATAAAAACATTATCATCAACCACTTAAGGAGAAGATTCAAGAAATTTCCAAATTACATCTAAAAACAGAAAGCTAATTTATTTAATAAGCCAAAGACTCTTAAAAATCAATAAGAAAAAGAGAAAAAACAGAAATGACAAAAAAGGCCGATAATCCAAAAGAAAATTTGAAAAAGAATAAAAGCATTAATTTGCAGGAAAATGCAAACGACCAACAAACATTTTAAAAGATTTTAAGCTGTTTTAATGATTAAAGAAATATCAATTAAAACAAAGAAATACTTCTTGCCTAAAAAAAGAAAAGAAAAGATTTGAAAATGCCCAGTTTGCAAGGGTAAGAGAAAATGGACTCTCAACTGGTGGGAACGAACGTATACTACTTCAACCTTTTTGAAGGTCAACCCTACAACAACTATGAACATTAAAAATGCACTGACCCAACAATTGCATTTCTAGAAATTTACCCTATAGATATCAATGCAACATTTTTTCTAAAAGTAAAAATCTGGAAAACCAATCATAGGACCCTGTGGTTTTTATTACGTCTTGACTAGGTTATACCATCCTGCTCCTCATGTTCTAGTAAAAGTATCCTCTTTTGTCTAGAAAACTCCTCCACCATTCTATCTGGTTTACGGGTGCAAACCAGACTTTATGTGACTAAAGTCTCTTCTAATATTTCTATCTGGATATAGGAAAAGAGAGGTTCTCTTTCCAAAGAGGTTATTAATGTGAGAGGATCCAATCAAAGGCTACAAGCAGCCAGCTGTTCTGTATGAATTAAGAATCAATCTACAAAATAAAACCATGTACTCATGAGACAGACTTAATCTCAGACAGATAACAAAAGACACATACACACACACACAAGCACATATATGATTTGGATATAACCTGGTGATACTGAGTTCGGGAGTTTGGTAGCACTGAGTTGTTGTTCCACAACTTAAGGTCCTGATCCATGCAGTTCTTCCATCAATGTGAGTTATTCTTTATAGCACAGAAAGCCATAAGCTACAAAAAAAAGCCATAACCTATCCTCCTAGTTTGAGCTGTGTTTATTGTTTGCAACCAAAATCATCTTTATTGATATGACTGATGATTTCTAGGTGAAGATGGTCATTGAGCATGCATATCAAATTTACTTTCTCCCCAAACTCTACCATGGTAAAGAGATTTTAAAAATACATATGTATTAATTTACAAAGAAGTGAGAATAGGAAAGACGACAGTGACACCAAATTTTTGGATGACAGAAAGCAGATAGAACAATGGCAGTTAACCTAGCATAGTTTAAAAAAAAAGACTCTTAACAATAGGGAAAGCTGAGAACCAGTCTGATTATACTTATATTGCAGGATGAATTGTTATTGTTGTTGTGAAGTGCCAGCGAGTCAGTTCCAACCCATAGAGACCCTGTATAGGGTTTCTGAGGAGCAGCTGGTGAGCTTGAACCACTGACCTTGCAGTTCAAATGGCTTTGCAGGATGAATAGAACTGTTAAAATGCAGAGTACTGAGTAAAAGCTGGCTAAGAAACAGATCTTCTCCCTACCTATTCACCTCCTCCCCAAACACAGGAGAAATTCAGAAGTTAATTTCTAGAGAGGATAGCAGATTCTTTGGACTGTGATTACAACATGGACACCAACTATATCCTAGAAATAGTATTGTCAGGAAAGTAGCCAAACACTGAGAACTTGCCCAGTCCTCTTCCCCACACAGCTCTAAGAATGCTGAAGACCAGTGCCTTCTTTTCACACAGGAGATTGCAAGAGTACTCTTGAGAATTTGACCAACTAAAGAAGAAAACCAGTTTTGTTGTTGTTAGGTACCACTGAATGAGTACCAACTCATAGCGACTCTATACACAACTGAACCTAACACTGCCTGGTCCTGCACCAAACCCACAACATTTGCTATGTTTCAGTCCACTGCTGCTGCCACTGTGTCAATCCATCTCGTTAGGGGTCTTCCTCTTCTTCTCTGACCTCCTCTTTACAAAACATGACAGGCTTCTTCAGGGACTGGTCCCTCCTAATAATATGTCCAAAGAAGAGAAACCAAGTATGGTCATCCTGACTTCAAAGGAGCATTCTGTACTTTTTGCAACACAGATTATTTGTTCTTCTGGTAGTCCATGGTGCTTTTAATATTCTCCTCCAATACCATATCTCAAATGCATCAGTTCTATGGTCTTCCTTATTCACTGT